AGGTGAAGGAGCACCTTGAGGGTGTACAGAGCTTGGCTTTAGGCTGGGGAGCAATGCTGCTGGCAAGACCCAGGGCAGTCCAGCATCCTCTCTGATGCAGGGCTCCCACTGACTTCCCTGCTGGGCTGGGAAATGGCCCATATTTTTGCCTGCCTGGGCACAAAGTGGTGTGGGAGAGAAATAAAATTACTGACCTGTGCACAGCCAGACCAAAGCAGGGTTATTACCAGTCCAGTGGGGAGGTTTTAATCACCCCAAATATCTTGGGACAGTCCATTCTTAATAATAATTTACAGCACTTAGCACTTTTACATGTTCTAAGCATTTTGCAGGCATTAAACAGGGGCTGGGACCACTTTGGAGCAGGGACTGACACTGTGGTCTCACCCAGGCCCAGCAGAGAGGCAGGGACTCTCCACAGCCTGCCCTCATTCACCTGTGCACCTCCCACCTACACCTCCAGCCTCTTGTCCCACCTCATGGTTTTCCTCTCCAAACTAGAATCAGAGAATCAGAGAATCAACTGGGTTAGAAAAGACCTCCGAGATCATCCAGTCCAACCCTATCGTGGTTACTAGACCATGGCACTATGTCTCTTATGCAGACTTGCTTTAAAACAGCAGCCATCCAGTCACTGGCCTGGGGAGCATGGCTATTTCACCAGCACATACAACAAATAATCACAGCTAGGCAGGAAATTGGTCCCATTTCACAAATGAGGCAGCTGGCATGGAAAGAATAGTTAACTGGTGAGCTGGGAACACATTTCCTGACTCCAGCCTTCTCTTGCCAGCCTCACAGTGATAGTTCCAGAGCTTAGACTTCAGCATGTTTGGAGAGGCTAGGAACCTACAAGACATTCCAACCCTCTGTATTGTCAGAAATACTCCTTGGTTTGGATTGGGCTTAGGCACAATGGGTTGCCCACACTGGAAACACAGCCGGGTCTGCATCACCCCTGGGTCTAGTCTCTGCTGGATTTGTTATCACTGTCACTTTTGCTATCATCTACACATGCTGCCAGGCTTTAATCTGGGGCTGGGATCTGCAGTGGCACACAGCAAGCTGACCCTGCAGCACAAAGATGAACTTCGCAGGATGCTGCGAGAGATGCTGAGATGAAAGATGAAGTGAAAAACACACATCTGCAAGCCTGATGCTGCTGCCTCTGTGGTCCTTCCACCCTCCTGCACCCCCACAGTTGTCCAGGCTTCCCTTTGCACTGCTGTAAGGGACTGGATGGTGGGAACAGACACCCAGCTGTGGCTGTAGTAGGGAAGATGCAGGAGGGAGAGGAGGGGAAATGTGCTGCAGGTGACAGTAGCTGATGTCTCCAAGAAGCTCAAAAGGTTTGAAAGCAATTGGTTCACATATGGAACTGAAACTGAACCAAGAGGAATTCACCAAGAGCACTAAGTAGTGGGCACCAGCTATTTAAAGCTTCCCATGCATCTGACCTGCAGCTGGGCATCAAGAAGGGGTGTGCCTGCAGCATGCACAGACACACCCATGACAGTCTGAGCCAGGGCTCTGGAACACTGCTAGGTACAGCTGCAGCAGCCAAGAGGTCAGCAGGGGCTAGAAACCACCCAGCAACTGGGCTGTTTGATGAAGGAGCAGGGCATGGCTGGTGCCCTATCAGCCTTAGCTAAACAGCAAGTGGGAGCCAAGGACTCTGAGATTGTTTCAGGAGCCAGCCAAGACCGGACAGGAACTGCAATCGGAGTCTTGTGGACAGACACACAGAGCTACCACACAACCTCCAGACAGACTACCCCTGCTCAGCAAGATCTCAAAATAGCTGAGAGATGTGACTGCATGGAAATGACACTGTAACATCCCTTGTTGGTCCTTTAGACAGGGCAAGTCTTCCTATACCATGCCTTGGCTCTCAGAGAGGTCTGAAACCAAGGCTGTGAATGCCTGCAGGCACTAGAGGAACTCAGGTCCCCCCACAGATGGGGCTCCTGGCTGGTGGCACCCATACCCTGGCTTGGGTTGCCCTATTCTCCCTCTTTTCACCCCCTGTGTCCAGACAGATCCTGCCTAAAAGCAGCTGCAATCTTATTTCACCGTGATTTTTTATTTTCAGAGCATGTACCACATTTTAATAGAGAGGAAAGCATCTCAAACACCTTCTTATTTCCTAGCACAACCCTTGCAACATCTGCACAGCCCTTTCCTGGCAATGCCTGCAGGTTGCTTACGTGGAAAAATCCCATTAAAGAAGTGTTTTAGCAATGGCCTTTGGTTTTGTTTTTCAAACTCGATTTGACAGGATGAACCAGTGCTGCAAATCTCAGAGGCCCTCTGGCAGGCATTTCCAAGACCCCTGCCTGGCTGTAAAGCTATTTGAGATCCTTCTCACAGCATTTTAACCCTGCTCAACGCTCTACACTGGGAACCTGTCTCTAGCGCCCGATTGCTCACTGCAGAGACAGTTTTCTAACTGCCTAGCCCGAATTTGGTTTTATGGAACTAATGCCAGGCTTTACTACTACGAGCTAATTAGAGCAATTCCCTTCCTTGGCTTATATTGTTCCCTTGAAGGTATTTGCAGGCAGAATGCTTGTCCCTACTGAACCATCCCTTTTCACTCCATGCACTTCCCTCCTCATACCTTCCATCCTCAGGTCGCTTTTGTCAACTAAGCATTGCTGCAGAGCATATTTGGGTCATCTTTTCACTCCTCTGATCTCTCTTTGGGAGCAGAATCATCTCAAGACATAGCCTCTCCTGCTGAGGAACAGGCAAGGGGCCACAGCCACCCTCTGGACATGCTGCCCTGGCCAGGGCTTGGAGAGTATTGGGGATCCCTGGCTGATCCCTGCATGGATGCTGGGACTGACTGTGGTGACAGCAGAGTAAAGAGACCAGGAGAGGAGGAAAAGCTGGTAGGTGTCCAGCTGGGTTATTGGGACAGGGATTGTCCACCCTGCTTTCAGGCTGTCGCAGTAGTGCCAGCTGATGAAATTTAATGCATTGTTGACCAGGTTCTACTTTCTCTGCCTCAAAAGCAACCTTTGTGACTGCTGTGGCTTGTTTTCAATAATTCTTGGCTTACAAGACCTTTTCTTTTTTATTAAAATTCAAAATTGTTAAAATTTTGATTAAATTAAACCAAATGGACTTTGTTCTCCATTGGAAGCTGTTTATGTAACATCTGTTTTAAATAGCTTTCAAACTCAGCCCATTCAACTGTGTAAAATAAAACACTGAAAACACTACATTTGGTGTGATTTTTCCTAAAACAACCCTCAAGCTTAGCCCTATGTGCCCAGTGCAGTCCTGGGGCAGCTGCTTGGATGGATGTCTGCCTGATTCACACAGCTGGCAAAGACTGGGTAAATCATTTAAAGCTCCTTTTACAAACTGCTGCTTTTTAAGGCAAGAAACCAACCCATTAGTAGTAGAGTTTGCAGCGCTGTCGGCATTAAACACACAGTGCTCTGTGTCAGGTTAGATAGCCACACTATTCCTGGGGCAGCAGGCAGAGCTGGAGTTTCGCTGCCGCAGGGAGCTGAGACGTGATGGCCAAACGCTGTGTGTGGCAGAGCTCACAGGAGGCTGCAGAGCTGATCCCCTATCCCCTCGCTCGCAGGCCGCGCTGGGGTGAAGAGCTCACCCCGATCCCGTGCGGGAGCTGGACGTGCTCCCATGGGTGGCCTCGCTGTTTCGGCAGCTCAGCTCCCTCCAGCTGCTGGCCCGGGCACTCGTGTCCCACTTTCTCATAACCTCCCCTGCCTCCTCCTCCTCTTTATATATTCATGAAGCAGCAGGGGGATAAATAAAAGCTGAGCGAGCCCGAGCGGCCGCACAGGAAGAGGAACTGTGCACGGCCAGGACAGAGCCGTTCTCTATCTGCTGGGACAGCCTCGCTCGCAGCAGAGATAACTGTTCCCTGCTCTCTCGGGCGCCAGCTGGACCAGCTCTGGATGCAAGGAAGAGGAAAGTTAACAGTAAGTGAGTCAGTCTCACCAGGGATAAGATAACACTTTTTTAAGGATGTTTCTCTTGCTACGTTCAGAGCCAGGCCTGATGTGGGGCTGTGCCCACACCCGCTCTGCTCCCAGCAGATTGCTCCCCCAGCACTCCATCACCTCCTGGCAGGGGCCGAGGGCATCCCCATGGACACAGAGGAGGAGAAGAGGCTGGAAGAAAGAAGACACGTGCACAACCAGAGACTTAGTATGTAATTCACAGGGGACCATTTCAAAATGTCGAGCCTGTCTCCAGCCTGTTTTGCTCTGGAGACATTGGCATGGAGGGTCACTAGAGTCTGGTGTCAAAGGATTATATTGCAGTTGTGCTTTTTTGGGGGAAGGGCAGAGCTCTGGGAGGACACACATGTGCCTGTCTCCTGTGATTGCTTACTACCCCATGGTCTCACTTCCATCCTCTTTCTTCTGGGACTGCAAGGAAGGAATGCACTTCTGTTACTGCAGATGACACCATGGGGTTTTCTGCCTGTAAATTAACCCCTCTGATAGCTGGAATATACTAAAAGCAGGCAAGAAGGTCATCTCTTGACTGTAGGGAGTCAGGATCTGATTAGCTCAAGCAAAAACCAAAAGCACCTCAAGTACTATGGCCCCTGTCTCCCTTCCTGGGACACTATCAGCACAGCCAGCACCTTGTCACCCTTAATCTGAGAAGGCTCCATCCCAGTCTGCAAGCAGAGTCCTGCCCCCACCAATCCCTCATTCCAGGGTTAGACCTTTGCCATATTGCAGGTCTGTGTGATGTGCTGCCAGTCTGATCCAGGGAGCAATATCTGCTCTTCACCCTACCCACAGTCTTGCTGTGTGCAGTCAGCATCATCAGGAGTGTGCTAATGCATAGCCCTAAATACAGGGGACATTGGTGCCAGGTGCTCCCCCCAGTCCTGAGCACCCAATTAACCCACTAAATTCTGCAAGATGGGCCAGCAACTTCATATCCCATGTCACCTTCTGACCTCTGCTAATGCTTCAATTTTTTCTCCTTGCCTAGGTACAGCCCTAAGATGAAGGCTTCAGCTGGGCAAGGCATAAGGCTGGCATACCTTCTCCTGAGTTTGGCTTCCCCCTGCCTTCCCACCCCACTCTGGAAGGACCGGGACTCCCTAATGCAGGAGGAGAAAGCCCAGCAGACGGGTGGCAATTTGGTGCTGAGCAGGCAGGAACAGCAGCTCAGTACAAAGCTTGTAAATCTCAAGAAGAAGGAAGTTGCAACAGCCATAAGTACAGGACAGTTCCCTCCGAGCATGCACTTCTTCCGGGCAAAAGGCCTCATTGATCAGAGCATGGTGTTCAGCATCTTAAAGCACATGCCAAAAGGTAGGCTTGGCCTAAGGGTTGTTTGTCTTACTCATCCTTGTCTCACCTCCTGCTTTCTATGGCTGAGCTGAGCCCAAGCTTACAAGAGCTGTAAATTGTGCTCACTGGGTTCCAGGAAAAGCCCTGCCTCTGAGCTCAGGGACAGGGCAGGGGAGAGAGGAAGAGGGGGATGGATTGGATGAATACACATTTCCAGCAATTGTGGCATTTCATTGAACTTACAATATGGATCCTTCAGTTTTTCAAGAGTGGAGAAAGGGCAGAGGAAACAAAGACAACAAGACATCACCAACACGAGCATGTTCCAGCCAGGGCCTTTCTTTCTTTTCTTTCTACTAACCTTGTCTTGTTCCACATCTTAGCCAGAATTGCTGTATACCCCAAAAGTCTCTCTGCAGGTGGTTCTGTAGCAGGTCTGGAGGTCTAATGAAACGTTTGGGAGCACTAGAAGAGGAAGGGGCTACGTTCAACACTGCAAGTTTCTCTGCTTGTTGTATACAAGTCAAAGTCTATGTACTTCCAGCACTTAGAGTGGGGCTTGCGTAAGGGAGAGAGAGAGCAACTTTTTACATAGGCAGATAGTGACAAGGGGGAACAGTATTAAACTAAAAGAGAACAGATTCAGATTAGATATTAGGAAGAAATTCTTTACTCAGAGGGCAGTGAGGCACTGGCACAGGTTGACCAGAGAAGCTGTGGATGCTCCATCCCTGCAAGTGTTCAAGGCCAGGTTGGATGGGGCCCTGAGGAACCTTCCCAACTTCTCCATCCCAGTCTCTGCTGTGGGATGCAGATCCTTGTCTTGCATCATCCTAATCTGTTTCCATAAATGGTTGGTATGTCAGAAATGTCATTGTCCTTTAATTGCTGAGTTGAACATTGAAGGAATTTAAAGGTACCCCCCGCTTCACCTCTAATGGGGTATCATTGATACCAAGGGGAAACCAAAACAAATAATTAACACTTTTCAATCCAGGAGATGTTAAAATGGGTTCTTAGAATCTTTGCAAGAGCTGTAAGTTTTTAGGGCCAAGATCACATCCTTGCAGCTGTTTGAAGAAGACCTAGTCTCAGAGGCCTCAGTCTTGATCAGAGCCCCCGGGAGTTACTGTTGTTCCAAGCACTATTGTCATTTCTGTTGCTGCTCACACAGCAAAGAAGGTGACATTGCCAGAGAGGAGGGTCAGATCTAGACAGCTGCAGCATGCTCAGTCTGTCACACTAGCTCTGCTGAGAGCAGCAACCACAGTTCCTCAGCATCCTAACAGCCAGGCCCTCTATAGTGGGAGATTATAGACATTATAGTCTATATTAGATTAGTCCACTATAAATGATAGTCTTGAACTTTGTCTAATGTCAAATACATAACAGTCTTCAGTCTCGTTCTTGCTATTCATCTTCTCCCTTTACCCCTAAGGGCATCAAAGCTATTTTGACTATGAGGTGTCCCCATAACTAATAAAATCCATATCTAAGACTTCAGCTCTCACAGTGTCTTCCCTTTACAAAGGTGAAGTTTAGTTCAAGCACCAGTAACATAAGGAGTCTCTACAAAAAATGAGATTTTAGCAAAATGAAAGGATGAGGAAGGTGAGCATACAGAGGATGGGAAGACTGGCTGTTGCCAACATACTGCACAATAACAGTGTCCCAGAGGCCCTTCGTGCTGGCCAGCAGCAGATGTACAATGTAAGTGAGCATGCTTTTGATAAGACATAGAAGTAGATTGTACTTCTGCATCCGAGTACAATTCCCCATTGTATCATGGTCTGGGATTTTAGTGTATGCCAGGGTTTCAGAGAGCTGAAAGAAGAGACACAGGCTAGATGTAAAAATTGAAGCTGAGCTTCAAACAGCTTAGATACAGAGCTTTGCTTCAGGTGTGTTAGCATGCCTTGTGAACTGCTGCCTACTGTGTGAGTTCCTCTTTAAATCACTGGGGCCTGAGCCAGCTCATAGCAAAGTCTGTCTGAAAGACCTTTAATAACTCAGAGCATTTTCCATCCCAGTGGAGAAGCAGAGCTCCCTATTGATTTCCCCCCTCCCTGTGCTCCCGGGGAGCTGTCACGCTCTGCCTGCCCAGTGTTTGACATGGAGGGGGCCACAACCCTTAGCCTGGGGGAGGCAGAGGAGCCATGCAGTCTTTGCTGACAGAGGTCACTCACAGCCTTCTAGAAGCATTTCCAGATGCCCCTGAATGGGCAAACTCAAACTATTATCACATTAAACCTCAGCTCCTTCTTCTCAGCTGCCTTGACTCATTAGGCTGTACTCTTCCGCCCACCAGGTGCTGTCTTACACCTGCATGACTATGCCATCCTGAGTGTGGACTGGTTGGTGTACAATGCCTCCTACCTCCCTGACTGCTACATCTGCTTCACACACACGGGCACCGTTCGGTTTCGCTTTTCCAAGCCACATCCTCCTCGCCCAGTGCCAGCCCGGTGCTCCCAGTGGGTTTTGCTGGAGACTTATCGGAAACAGCTGAGCAATGTGACTGAGTTTGATAGCAGGTGAGTGAAGAAGGGTTTCAAGCCTGCTGGTCATTCTGGTCCAGCTTTCCCTTTTGCTTGTGGCTCTGCAAGTGGGGAACTCCACCTAGGATTGCATACATAGAAAAAGCAAATAGCAACGTAAGAACCTGAAGGCTGAAGCATTAAATGCACCAAAGTTAGAGACCATAAAACCTGAAATTTCCTGTGCACACTCACTCTGGTTGTTTGCACAGACATGCTGAGGACAGTGGTGTAAATAGATTTACGTGACCTGCCCCCACCTCTACTTAGCACCAGGCTGGATGTGCTCCCAGCATAGGCCTACATGGTGCCTCATCCAGCAAGGTACCCAGGAACTGGGTGAGGAAGTCAGGTAGTTGATGAACAGGCTCTCCCCAACACCAGAGAAGTCATTTATAAAGTCATTGTCTTGATTGGGAGCAAGAAGTTGGGCAAACTACTTATGTTAATTACTGCATTAGCAAAAAGACGCCAAAACAACCCAAAATCAAGCCCAACCCAAAGTCCCTCTCCAAACAGCAACCTTGTTTTCTGAGCACTGTCTTTGAAACCTACTGGTACCCACCACCCTGAAGCATGAGACACTCGTTCCCAACAGGACCCTCAGGCACCAGGGACTGTGACTTGCTCTCCTGTCCTTCAGACAAGAGATCAGTCTCAGCCTGGGCACTGGCTGAGCCAATAAACCCTGCACACAGGACCTCTGCCTGGTAGCACTCTTACCTCCTCAACACCCTCCTGCTAACAGAGCTTCCCCCTTAGAGGCAAGGCCTCCTATAGCTATCCAGGAGCTCCCACCTCAGATGGCTCCCCAAGGCATCTCTCACCCTCTCACAGGACTTCTCTTCCCTGCAGACAACTCCTACCTTAACTGCTGGCAGCCTTTTATCAGCACCAGGCATTAGCTGGCTGCTCAGCAGCCACCTACCATTTAATCACAGGTGATGGGAAAAGGGTGTCCTATCTCCCCATCCAGGGGCCATTGATCCCAGGACAAAGCCCTGCCAAACAGTCCAGGAGGAAGCATGCAGCTCCGCGTGGTGTGCAGGGGGCTGCAGAGAGCATGCTAAATAATGCATGAAGTCAGACACTGAGCGATGAGGACAAAGGAAAATATTGAGTAGCCATCCATTCAGAGGGCACCGCTGGCCGTGGTGCTCCAGGGGCTGGGATCCTGCAGGGAAACAGCACGGGGTGTCATGTCATGAGAGACAGAATGGCCATGCCAACACACAGGGAGAGGGCTGGGTTAAGGTGACGCAGGTGACCCTAATTACAGCATTTCCTAAGTGAAACTTGGTAGGGTTTACTGTAGTGCTCTCCAGTGAGGTCATGTGGTCTTAAACAGAGACCTTTTAACTGTTAGGGAGCTGGTGTCCCCTCCACATGGAAGCTGTCTGGGCTCTGTGCCTTACAGGTCTGGGAAGGAGGTCAGATTGGGAAGCTGAGGAGCTGCCAGACCTTTGGCATGGTATTGCCTTGCCTCCCCAACAACAGCAAGGGGCAGGGCAGAGGGGTCTGACTCTTCAGGACACCCACCATCCCTCTCTCACAGAGGTCCAGAAGGGAAGGAGAAAGTAATGACAGACCCTGGGCTCTTGACCTTTTATATCCTGAGGCTCAATTGCCCTGACACGTGATGGACGAAATAAGATCTGGTGAGAAGTCACTTATCTATGTCTTCCAAAGAGAAAACTGGTTCCCCATTAGCTCCCTTCCATTTCTACTGGGAGTGATGAGGAGGGAAAGATGACAGCACCAGCTCTCTTCAAACCCACCAGGAGACTCATAAATAATGTGCAAGAGATTGGATTTTGAAACAGTTTCACTTCCTTAAAGCCCAAGCGATTGCACTGGGTATTTAGAACTGTCTCAGGGCAACACTTCCTTGTGTTTGTTTTCAGTTGTATTTCCATGGTGTGACGTCCCTTTCTGGCTGAGGCTAGAGGCCATGGCATCCTGTGCACCTAGGAGATTGGAGCTGTGCATTATTTGGTTCCCTCTGTTTGTTTGGAAACATGACTTGTTTTCAGAGGCAGTATTACCACATTCCTCTTCTTTTGTATTAGTTGTCTGACAATGTCTAGTAGCCACAAATCAGAGCAGGACTTCAGATCAGCAGGCACTGCACAGGGACACGAGACAGACCCTGCTGCAAGGGTCTCCCCAGATTTGGAGGGGAAACTGAGGCAGAGACTAATGCAGTGATTTTCCTCAGCAAACAATGCCAGAGCCAAGTACAAACTTGGATCTCTCACATCCTGGGTGCTCAGACTGACTCATCTGAGTATGTTGTCCTTCATTTCTCGCCCTTCCGTGCTCATCACCACAAAATCGCAGAGGAGTCATTGCGCATAATGTGCAAACACATGAACAACAGCCACATTGAGGCACTTCCCCTCCTATTTTCATCTAATCCCTGGGTACTAGTCTAGGGGTTAGGAATGTTTTTGGCCGTCTGGAAATAGGTCTCTAGCCAGGAATAGGCCCCAATCTGTTCTGCTTCTCAGTTTCTGGAAACTCTCCCAGTCTCTTGAACATGTGCATCCCAGGCTACCTCTTTCCTGCACTCCTCTTTGCCCTTGAGCACTGACAAGCTGAGAGAAAGCAGATGTCAGAGGAAGGAACGGATGGATAGTTGGGTGGTTTCAAGGAAATATCCAGGGAATATGGCAGCAGGGAAGGGCTCTCATGCAAGACAGGGTGGATCAGCAAATGTGAAGTGAACAATGGAAATGTTTCCGAGAGGCTGCATCTCCTTCACCTTACAGCATTCCTGACCAGGAAGGGGTGGGAGAAAGAGATATCTGCATTACATTTTTGCTCTTTGCATATTTAGGTACATGTGCATATGTGTGTGTGTTTTGGAAGGAAGTCCTTTTGTTTGTTTCCCTCAAAAGAAGGTCTAATCATTCCTATTCAAAACACACATCTCGTGGGCCAAGACCCTGGAGTATTGTGTTACTGGTAAGCTTCCAAAAGGATGCTATTAGGAGAGTCAGGAGACCATGGGCCAGGAGACAGCAAAAGGAAGAGAATTTTGCTTGGAGAATTGAAAGGAAAAACAATCCTCACTTATTTTCTTCACAATCAATGATGACATAGGGGAATGCCATTTTTTCCCCCTCAAGATCTCTAAAGCAAGAGCATGCCCCTAGATATTCAGGAAGCAGCATTGACATTCCAGCTATCTGTAAAATACCACTGCACACCCCCCCAGCAGCCCCAGGATTAAGGCCGTGCCCGGCAGCGCAGCTCGGCCGGCCCAGCGGAGCTCTCTATCACCAGGATGAAGTCATCTGTGCGAGAGCTGACACCATGGCCGAGGCCGTGGGGACAACTCCCCTGGGCACTAACGGCTGCCTGGACTGCCATCACCTTCCCCTCCATGTCCTCTGACTGCCTTATCTCACAGAAAAATAGGGCAGTGTGTGCATTACGAGGGGAGGAAAAAAAAAAAGGGGAATAAAAACCCACTACAGAAACAAAGCACTCTGCTCCCTCTACAAGTCTCCCCTTGGGGAGGAGAAGAGGGGATGAGAGAGCGAGAGAAAGCGAATGAACCACATGTGACAGATGTTAGTCACACTATTTAATGCACCACTGGAACACATTTAGATACTACGGTGAGGAGAGGGGCATAATTACCCATCGAGAACAGAAAAAGAAGCAGGAAAAAGGATCCCTTTATACGTAAGGCAACAAAACCCTTCGCTTCTGTATTATATAGCACAAGAAAGGAAAAGGGGGAAAAAACAGGAAAAGAGAAAGCAAACCCACAGCTGAAAATAAATAATCCTTAGCTGGTCATTTTAGCTGTGCCCCTTTGGGCATATGCATTGCAATAGCATTGTTCAGTGCATATATGACATGACATGGAAGGCTATTTGTAGTCTGCACCTGATCACTGGTGAAGACCCATTCCAGAAAAGAAGCAAAAAAATGTATTTATGAAGCTTTGCTTCATCTGCATGAGCTACTGATGGGAAAAACCCCCTGAATCCTTAGGAGATGATCTAGTTATCAAAGATGGATCACTATTATGCAATAAATCTTCAAGAGTTGCAGGGATCAATAATCAGCCTCAGAGGAAAGGGGATTATAAAAAAAGAAAAAGTACAATTTGATTTATGTGCTTTTAGGAGCAGGGTGGTGTGGGGATTTATTGCTCTTTCTAGCCCAAGTGCACAGGCTAAGTAAACAAGCCTGAGTTTGTGGAGGCCGATTTAAAGGCAGGGAGCGGAGCCCGGCGCGTTCCTCGCGGAGCAGCTCTCACAGGACAGGGAGCCAGCGGTGGGAGCCAACCAACACCCGACCTCATCGGAAGCCAAGCGAGAATGGGCTTGCACAGCCTTTTGATCCACGGGGAGGTTTTTCCCTTGCTGCTTGCAAGGCTGGTGGGAACAGCCCAGCTCGGCTCGGCTTCGGGCAGGTGCTCTCCGCCGGCACGTGGAGCTGGAGCGGAGCTGCCCTTCGGCCAGGAGTGAAGTGGAAAAGTCTCTTTTCCCCATCTCTACCCACACAAATCCTGCTCTGCCCTCCCTGCCGAGCGGCTGCCCCCACCGTGAGCAGCTGGATCTGTGCCTTCCAGATGCTCCTGGCTCCTGCATTCTTGGTTTCTAGGGTGATGCTGTGGTGTCTCCCACTGCTACGTGCTCCCACCCAAAACGCTGCTCGCCCCTTCCATGGTCCAGCTCTGTCCCCTCTGGCTGCATGGATTACTGAACAGTAGCTGGGGTTGCCCAGTGTCCTGTGATAATGGCACCAAAGCCTCTATTGTAATGCATGGGAAGGCAGAGCCGAAGTTGCTGTGGAAACCTTAACTCTGAATTTTCCTGACTGTTGAGCATTTGAAATCTCATCCTTAACACAGTACAAGTGCCTCTTTATGTACAGTTTTGCTCCTGAAATTGTTCCCAGCAAAGAAACTAACAAAGTGAGGAAGGAATGAAAGTGCAGCTACTGGAAGAGCATCCTTAGAGTGAAACAGCAGGCAAATCCTGGGGGAGTGGGCTCCACTTTATGGGCAGGATGGAGTGACTCAAAAGGCACTCAAAAGGCAGGTCCCTGCCCGGGATGTCTTAGTTTATGCGGGCAGGATGGAGTGACTCAAAAGGCAAGTCCCTGCCCGGGATGTCTTAGTTTATGAATTTGGACCAGATCACACCATACATCTCAGGGGGAGTTGTGTGTAATTCCATCCACAGAAGCATCCTGGATGAAGATAATAAGAACACAGATCAAACCCACACCTCCCATATAACAGAGCAGAGTACTGCACAAGGATGGGGGCCAAGACATCAAACACAGAACATTATTAAAGATAAGTAGCTGTTATTGAGGGGAAACAATATACTCAGATGAAAGCTAGGGAATGGTTGGAGGTATTTCTATCTGAACCTGCTTAGCCCCTGACATGAGATAAGCAGCAGGCCTGGCCAGACGGGTAAGCCCACCTGCCTGCAAGCAAACAGCTCTGCAGCTTGCTGCAATGGTTTCTGTTTGTCCACCCAGGAATGAAGTTAATCACCCCTGTATTGCCATGTCGGCTTTGCCCACTGGCCTGAGAAATTTAGTATGAACTCTTCAGGTGGAGGCTGTTGTCAGAGGCAAGGCTTCAGGTGGGATGAAGGCTAACAGCTTGTCAGAGAATGGTGTAGCAGCACAGACACTCACCCTGTCCTAAATGCAAGCTGTCACCCACAACTAGATAATCTTGCAATTACTGGCTCCCTTAAACTCTGCTTGATAAAACTACTCACGGCCTCTTGGGATTTCTGAAAGAGGCTTATACACCAGCTGAGTCTATGGAGGAAATAAATACGTTTCCATCCCACTAAGGAAAAGCCAAGACCTGCAATTCTTATCAGTTGTTTCCCACCAATCTGAAGAAGCTATCATCAAGGCAGGCAGGACATCAGGTTTGTTCCATTGGTGGGTCAAAACGATTTCTGATTCACAATCATTTCCCCCTTGGCTTTTATTAAATGACATATTTTGACAATACAAAGGTACCAGGACAATTTATGGGCTCAGTAAGCAGGTTGGTGGAGGCCTAGTACATGATATCTGGAGACTCAGCCTGCCTTTAGGTGGTAAACAGAGGGCCAAGTGTCATAACATTTTACATGCATTGATGATGCTTGGGAGAATGTGCTGTCTGCAGGAGGAACATACCTGCCTACTTTTGGATTAAGGATACCCCTGGGCACAGAGTGCAATTCTTATGATATTAAAGCACCATACTTGTTTTTGTAACCTCATTACTCCCCAATATTTTGCCCTCAAAAAAGGGAGGGGCAGGTTTTGAACACATGGTCTTACCTTGCTTATATCCCAACATGTATCCTGTAACTTCTGGACCAGCTGCCAGATGAGTAAATACAGGTGGCAGAAAAATTACCTGAATGCTTCCTAGTTGCACCAGTTGCTGTTATGCCTCTTTCATTGCAGTGCCAACAGGCTCTGAGTTGGATCTGGGGCCCCTATT